TGGTGGTGGTGGTGATGGTGGTGGTGGTGGTGATGGTGGTGGTGATGGTGATGGTGGTGGTGGTGGTGATAGTGGTGGTGATGGTGGTGGTGGTGGTGATGGTGGTGGTGATAGTGATGGTGGTGGTGGTGATGGTGGTGGTGGTATGATGCTGGTGATGGCTTACTACACGTTTACTGAGCTAGTGCTCTTGTGCCCCTGCAGGTGGAATGCATTGACGATCATCACGCCAATGAGGCCCTGGAAGAGGTAACTCTCTGTGTGGTTCCCTCCCTGGAGGACATGAGGCGGAACACCCAGAGAATATTCTGTACCCTCCAGTGGAGCGACTGGGTGGAAGCTTGGGTAGAGGCTGGGAGGATCAGACCTGTCCTTGGCCCGTGCTGTGAAGCCAGAAGCCCCCAGGTCATGAAGGGAGTCTGTGGCCAAACACTCATTTCTAAATCTAGGTGCAAACAACTTAGAACATATGTTCTCAGAGAAAATAAAATTTAAATGTTGGCCAGGTCCCTAGGTTAATCTACCAATATACATCTTTTACAAGATTGTTTTCAATTTTAAAAATATTAGGTACAGTAGAAAATCTGGAAAATACAGAATTGTGTACGAAGAAAATGTAAACTATTTCACATTCCTTGAATCAACCAGTCAGGACTGACAATGACATCCTAATTCATGGCAATAGCAGTAATAGCTGTGTGCACTTTGGTTGCTCCGCACAGGCTCTGAGCAGTTGTCTTTGCTTTCTGGAATTTCACATGAAGTTAAGTGTCTGCCGTCCTATCTAATGGTTTCTTGTTTGTCTTTGATCTGGAATTGCCAGCTTTCAGCCCTTGCCCGCAAACAGCTGCTTGGTCCGCAGTGTGACTGATGCGCAGGGATGGATCCAGGCCCCATTCTGACAAAGGGAAAGAAAGCCACTGTAGCCCCTGCACCCTCACAGCTTTTCACATTCTGTTCCCTCCGGCATCCCCGTAGGCGACCTGCTTTCACACCCAACTTTCCACACAAGCCGTGTCCTTCTGGTTCTCAGTGGCTAAGGTGGCCCCTTCTGCTGCCTGGTGTGTTCCTCTCAAAGCATTTCTAGCTGGGGATGGGGGCATGGGACCAGGAGGCAAGGTGGGTGTGGGTACATCAGTGACCCCTTCCCTTGGGCCTCACCACCTTCTCCAGCCACCCCTGCCTATGGTCTCTGTCCTCTATGCCAGGCACTGAGCCTGCATCAGGTCACTCAGTCCTCATGGCACCGCTGTGAGACAGATACCATTGTTACCGCCATTTTCAGGCAAGGCTAGGAGGCTCAGAGAGGTTGAGGAGCTGCTCCTCCGTCACACAGCACAGCCTGCATGCACCTGCTGGAGCGGGACCCACATCTAACCACCAACTAGCTGCACATTTTCCTTGTGCCCTGCACTGCTTGGAGCTGGAAGCTTGTGTTTTTGTTGGGATATGGCACAGGGGAGCACTAGCCGAGAACCACTGTTCCCGACCTTCTCCCCCCTCTGTTCTCGTGGCTGCAGCTGATGCCCCTGCTGAAGCTTCGGCACGCCCACGTCTCCTTCTACCGGGAGATGTTCATCACGTGGAACGGCCAGGTGGGTCAGAGCGGATGCTTGCGGCCCGGGCCACTCGGTGGTCACAGGAACAGCGAACTGAGTGCAGAGCACTCCGCACCGTTATCATCCTCGAGGGGCAATGGCAGTGACTCTAAACGTGACCCCTGACTCAGCACTTATCAGGGCCACACTGGGGGCTCCCTGGGCATCATCTCATGTGAGCCCCAACAGCTTCAGCGGAAGAGGGGTCATTATTCCAGGTCTCAGAAGCAGAGGCTAAGAGAAGCATGTTCCTCCCAGTTTCTCTCTAGTTTGGGGCCCAGCCAGGAGGTGAGGTGGGGTGGGCATGACTCCAGTGCCCGGTGCCTTCAGCTACTGAGCTGGCCCTACAGCTACCGGCTCAGTGAGTCTGCGCCTCTGAGGGTGGAGTTTTGACTTTTCACGGAAGGAGCAGGCAGGCGCCAGGAAGCCAGTCCCTTGCTTTCCCCCCTCGTCTGGCACCAGGTTGTCCTGGACCTCTGGACCCGTACAGGTTACTAACTAGCTGCATGTTCATCCTCAGGTCCAAGGAGGTCTGCAGGTGGGAAGTGCTGTCCTCATTTCCCTGGGGCTCAGAGACGTTAAGGAGCTCTCCAAGGCCACACAGCTCATAACAGCTGAGTGGGATGCCAGTCAGGGCCTCCTAGCCCCAAGCCTGCGCTTCATCCTATAGGCTGTGTGACTTCTTGGCTGTACAGGAACCAGAAGCTTTCAGTTACCCCAGAAGGGACTGAGGTGGAGGGGCGATGGGGGTGGGCCTGCAGGTGAAGGGCAGCTGCGAGGCGTCTTGTTGAGTGTCAGACCCTAATCACATCTCCACATTAGTATCCCCATCTGGAGCTGACAACTGAGGGTTTGAGCAGGAGTGGAGGGTCCCCCTCACACACATTCCCTCCCTTTTGACTGGGCCCCGAGGAAAGCCTTGGGGAGAGGCCATCACCCCCAAGCATTTTCTGAGTACCCCTAATGCTCTTAAGGAGATGTGGAAAAGCCAAGAGGACATTTCACTATGGGAAGGAAAGCAGGGTCCTCCTAAAGCCCTAGGTTGAGACCCTTGACGCAGTGTGCTGGGGTCCCCTTTAGGGCAGCTTCTCCAAGGGAGGAAATAATGTAAGCTGAGCCTATGAAGGGGTGAGGTCCCTGGCCCAGGCATCAGTATGTGTGGTGGCCAGGAGGCCCCTGCCACTGTCAGAAAAGTCCAAGTGCAGATGGAGCCAGGCGTGGGAGGTGAGGCTGGAGATGCGAGCAGGAGCTGCTCATGAGGGGCTGGCCCCCCGCCCCCGGCAGGCAGTACTCCCCTAGCCACCGCGGATGGCAGCCCATGCAAAAGCTCCTGGCCTGGGCGTCTGGGGCCAGAACTGGGGCACCTGCCTAAGGGACCTCGTGTCCCCAGCAGATCTCCTCTTTGTTCCTCTGCCTCGTGATGGACTACAGCAAGGGAAACTTCCAGAAGATCATCGAGAGGAGGAGGGAGGAAAGGACAATCGTTGACTCAGAGGTAAGACAGACTGTCTAGGACACCAGGCCCGGGGACCACCTGGACCTTGTGATGTCACAGGCCCCGCAGTTGGAGTGGGGGGCAAGAGGGAAGAGGGGAGGGCAGGGCCACTGGGGTCTGGCCATCCTTTCTCTTACGGCCGTGAGCGGAGGTGTTCACACACTGCCACGTGCGTGGATCTTACTGCACAGCTGGGCGACTTTGCGTAGTCGGCGCTCACAGCCGCCCAGATCAGGACGCGGGACGCCTGGAGCTCCAGGAGGTCCAGGCCGGCTTCTGCCTGGCCCCGAAGCCCCTATACACGGGCTCACACAGCGGGCAGTCCGTTGTGTCTGGTTTCTTGCGTTCGTCCTGGTGCCCGTGAGGCCCACGCACGCTGTGAGCCGGTCCAGAGTCGCCCCTGTCCGTGGCTCCGCTGCACTGCATGGCCACGCCCAGGCCCGCGTCTGGGTGAGCGCTGGGGGCTTTTGGGTTTTTCCAGTTTGGGGCTATGAGGAAGGTGTTGCTGAGTGTTTTTTGGTGGACCTAAATGCCATGTTGCCTGGGCAAACACTGGGCGTGGAGGTGCTGGGGTGTAGCGCAGGTGTGTGTGGCCTGAGCAGCCATCCCAGGTCCCGAGCTGGCTCGGTCGACCCGGAGTTCGCCGTCACCACAAGTGGGAGCGTCCCGGCTCCACGGCCTGGCCAGCACTTCAGTGTGTCAGTGTTTTCGCATTTAAGTCTTTTGTGCCTTTAAACCCTGGGTGGTTTGTCTTATTGAACTGTGGGAGTTCTTTCTGTGTCCTGGATACGGGTATCCAGAGTGTCTTCTCCCCACCCGTGACTCGCCAGTTCTCTTTCTTAACGACAGCTCGATGACAGAGTCCTTCATTGTGATGAAGGACTTCTCTGTGGCTTCTCTGACGCAGGTGCTCTTGGGTGCTGTAGGAGAAGCCTTCCCTGCCCCAGGGCCGTGTTATCCCCTGGGCTGGGTTGTCATCGCTCTCACATATAGGTCTGCAATCCACCCCAGATGACTTTTGCCTACTTTTGCTCTGAGCACCCCTCTGTTCAGTGGGCCTCCCCACCATCCCCTTGCTGAGGGGCTGTGAGGAGCATGCAGCTCCTCACCCCCCCATGGGTCTCAGAGGCAGGCTCGGAGGGTCTCGAATTTTCTGTGAGTGGCAGGACCCTTTGAAGCACAAAATGTCCTCAGAAACACAGTAAGTAAAGCCAATCTACTCTCATCGGGGGCAGGGAGGGCGGTGGAAGGTGGAGTGGAAGGAAGCCCAGGGTCCTGCCCACTCGGCTTCTGACACCCCAAGGTGGGATCCAGGGTCCCTAGGAACACAGTTTGAAAGTCACTGTGTTCTCTGTCAGGGCTCTTTTCATTCTGATGACATAGAGAAGTGAGCCCCAAAGACTTTACCCTCTCTGCCACCCACAAGGCCAATGGGCCACAGGGGTGGGATGCAGGGCCTGAGCCCGAGGCACACGGGTTTGAGGAGTGGGGACAGGAGTGTGGGGTCCAGGCACTAGGGTGTTGCCCTGGCTGACATGGTTTCACTGTCGGAGGAGCCTGAGGCAGAGCCTCTTGAGCTGACTCTGAGCTCCTGGCTAGCTTCAGCCCCGTCTCAAGACTCAGGAGAAAAGATGCTGCAGTCCTGCCGGCCACTCTGAGAGGTCACTGACCTGTACACACAGCTGCAGGGGCCCCACCGGGGAGCTTGCAGCCCCTCCAATCCTGGCATCTCTCTCTCACCCTTTCCCCAGTGGATGCAGAACATGCTGGGCCAGGTGCTGGACGCTCTGGATTACCTGCATCAGCTGGATATCATCCACAGGTGACTGGGGGCCAGGTGGTTTCAGGAGAAAAGGCTCGGACAGCAGTGCCTGTGTGCAGAATCCAGGCGAGAGGCACAGCCGCAGGCCATGTGGCCGGGATGAAGGCAGGCACCTGTCCAGAGCACCTATCTCCCAGGATAGTGTCCACACCCCCCCCCCAGCTTCTAGTGATTCACCCTCCCCACTCAGCTTCGTGAAGTGTGAGCTGACTCAGGCGGGTTGGTTCTAAAGTACAGGAAAGAAAGCAGATAACAGCACTCCCAGGACTGGAGATTAAACTGCTGTGGCCTCTGGCCAGGTGGCGCGCCTGTGACATGCTGGCAGCACCAGCCTGAGCTCTGGAACCCAGGGCCTGAGGGTCTGGGAATGACTTCAGGTTAGACCAGTATCATACGTCAAGGAGGGAGGAAAAGCATGTGGGCCGTGTGTGCGAAGGACATGCTCACGGCTCCGTGTTAACGTCAGTGGCCATCACCGTGGGAAACTTAGCCCCAAGCAGAGGCATAGCTCAGGTCTGGAAGGAGCCGCAGAAGGATTGGGTGGTTTCCTACCTGTAGTTGGTTTGTTTTTTCCAATTTAAAATAACCAGTTGTATTTTCTGTTTATTATAGGAGAGAATATTTAAAAAGTGGACTACAAAGGGGGCATTTATTGAAGAGAGGAGTGTGGGCTGCTTCTGTGGAACTGGGTGGGGCAGGAATTAAGGTTCAGGGTGCACGCTGGCCCCACAGGCAGGGTGCAAAGGTGTGCCCCTTGGTTTCAGAAACCTCAAGCCCTCCAACATCGCCCTGGTCAACATCAACCACTGCAAACTGCAGGACCTGAGCTGCAACGCACTGATGACCCACAAAGCCAAGTGGAACATCCGAGCAGAGGAAGGTGGCTGGGGTCCCCCCAGGCCTGGGACTGCGGTGGCTGGGGAGCAGTGGGGGAGGGGCCATTCACCGGAAGCTGGTTGCTCCTGGAGTCCAGAGGGCAGTAGCCACTCTGGGTGCTTGTGCAAGGCAACATCAAACCTCTCCTTGCTCAGAAGGTCCCCACAGACCCCTCCTAGACTTGCCCCCTAGGCAAAGAGCCCCCCTGCCTGGACTATAACTGAGCCAGAGCACCTCCATGGGGGGAGGCATGCAGAGTCCAAATGACACCCAGAAAATGTTAACCTTCATGGAGGCAGAAGAAAGGTCTCAGAAGTAAGGAAACTGACATGTAGAGGTGGAAGCCTGTTGGGTGCCAGATACTGGCTGGGGTTAGATTACTGAGTCCTAAAGTAAAGAAGATGGTAGAGGTGGGGAGTAAGGGGACATGAGCTCTCCTTCCTTAGAAAAGGCAACGGGGGCAAAGGGAGCCGGGTTTCTAGCCTCTAACAGCTGTCAGTGATGGAGACAACCACCACGGTGGAGAACTCCAGAGTTCTGGGGTGGCAGGTATTGGTGGCACTGTCCTTGGTGCAGAGAGGAGGGATGGATGGATGGGTGGGTGGTTGGATAGATGGATGGGTGAGTAGACAGATGGGTGGGAGGGTG